AACTAAAACAATTCATGATCACTAAGCCATCACTGCATTAGCTCAGTAGAATACCTGTCTTGCATGCACCAGGTCCTAGGTTCAAAACTCATCATTGAATAACAAAGAGTTGACACGTTATCTTATATGGGTGGATAAGGCTGCTTCTAGAAACTACAGGTTTTTAAATGAAACCACAGTACCAGGGGTGGGCTACCTCCCTCCAAATATTGGTTAGGAAAGCCTCTAAAGTCCTCAAACAACACAAACATTTGTCAAGTCAATTGGCTGCCCACCAGAACTAAATGGTAAGACTATTGCGAAAGACACCACATGATGTTTGGTCACAGGACATAAAGAAATCAAGTTGGAACCAAGATGGAAGCTTCCTCCAAGATGGCTAGCTCTCATACTGCTGGACAGGGCTATAGAGGCTGCTGGAGGAGATTTGTCATAATACTATTCAGGTAGAACTTGAATAGTATTAGTACTATTCATGGTGGCACTTGCCTTTAATCCCAGTTCTTGAGAGGCATAGGCAGGCAGATCTCTGTGAGATCAAGGCCAGCCTGGTCTACATAGTGAATTTCAGGCCAGCTGTCTTTGTGTACACACACACGCACACGCACATGCACACTCACACGTACGTGTAAAATCCTGAAACCCTGTCTCCATACACACATATGTGTATGTATGTATGTATGTATGTGTATGTATATGTACACACATACACACACACACACACACACATAATTCAGCTGTGGACCCTGCATGCTATAGTATTGACTGAAGTGCAGAAAAAAAAGCAAAAGATTGATAACATTCAATGTTGGCAAAATATCCAGGGAAACAGACTTATACATACATCAGAAACACTTTGGGAGGCAATTTAACAGTCTATGTTAAAATTCTAAATATTCATACTTTCTGACATAGGAATTTTACTAATTGTTATCTCTATTATTAATATAGTGGCACATCAATATAGAAAGTATGCAAAGACACATTTAAATGTGTAAAAAAAGACAGTTATAAATTTAAAAAGCATATACCTAATACAGGATGATACACAATTTTAAAAATTAGGTCTATAGGTGCATTAATGACCAATAAACATCTTATTTTTTTAAAAAATCAAGTTAAAGCACAATACGTAACA